TTACTTATATTTTATTATAACTTGCGATACTTTAAAATAATCATATGCATTATTATTTTTTGTTATTTATTCTGAACAAATATAGTATATGTAAATGTCATCGATTTTACTCCTCTTTCAATGAAGTTATTGTCAGTTTTCTTTTCTTTCTAATGCAGCTGGCAAACACAGACAGCTTGGTCTTTGGATGCCTTAAGGCAAGCGCTGCACAGATGTACTCACTTTGCATGACCCAGGGGGCGCGTGTAACTTGAAGATAAGCCACGGACGCGGAGTCACAATGCCCCCGCAACGCTCTACGATCCTATATTAGGACCGGGACCTACTTTTTAAAGTGGATTCCGAACCACTACAAACAACCATGGCACCGCCGGGACTCGAACCCGAAACCTGCAGTACCGAGCGCCAGAGCGCTAGCCACTCGACCATTCAGGCCCATAGTTATTATCAGTTATCAGCGGAAATCGAAGTCTTGTCGACTCAAGCAATTAGCCTGAAGTACTATTGGATCACAAATTGGAACAGAGACAAAATAAAAGGAATTATAAAAAAATATATTTTTTAATATATTTCATGATACCGGTTTACGGACTTAGGTAACTTCTCTAAAGAAAAACATTCCCAAGAAAAAATTAGACATTAGGAAAGAAAGAAAACATATTCTCATTTACAACTGTAAAAGAGTTTCTCAAAAAAAAAAACTTATTACTCATCTTATTATAAGCTGGAATACTTTCGATGCATTTTTTTTTTCATTACTCTAATCAATTAGGAGCTTTGGAAAAATCTTATTTCAGCTGAAGATTTGTTCGAAACAAAAGTAAAATTGTTGGCAAGTTTTTTTTTTTCTTTCTTACATTTCGAAGAAGCCCTGGAACTTTATTTTTGTTACTTTGGCGCCTTTTTTTCCCCTGTAAAACCTCTAACCAGTTTAACGGAAGTTTGAAAACTAAATCAAACAAAGGTGAACGTGTCAATGCTTCTTTCTGTGCACTTTTTCTACCCGTAAGATTTTCTCACTGTTTACAAATTGAAATCCTTTTTATTGAAAGCAAAGGCAAACTAAAAAAAAGCAAATGGAACTATTTCCGAAAAGTTGTTATCAATAAAATTTATTGTATAAGATTTACTTCGTGTCGAACCATAAAATGGACTATTATTTTTTACAAAAAAAAACTACTCGGTGGTTTTCTTTCACTAATTCATACAATTAATTAAGAATTTCATGTAATTTGTACGATATATTGTTAGTGAATTTTTAATTAAAATTTAAATTCATTAATAGTAGCTATTTTAATATTGTATCTTTATTCCAACGAAAAAGTTGTAGCATTTCGCTGCCAGGAGAGACGAATGTATATTCTTCAACAAGTAGATAATGACAACCTATCTCAATTTGACAGCAGATAAGCAGTGTTGTGGATATTTATATTACATACAATTTTGTACTAATGAGAACAACCTGTCACTGAAATCTGATAACATATATTCAGTGTCATGGATAATGAGACCTCATGAAATTAGAGTGGACCATTAGCATAGTCATCACTTAGTCCATATCCCGTCTGTTCGGCCTTCACAGGTCGAACAGACGGGATATGGATATAGTTATATTACATGCAATTTACGTTTTTTAATGCGAAATGCAATTTGTGCAATTGCAATTTTTATTTTAAGAACAACCTGTCACTCAAATCTGATTCACTGTCATGGATAATGAAACCTCGTGAAATCAGCGATTGTCTGTGCCACCTTCACAGGTTGAAACTATTACAGGCGACATATGGACTACGTGACGAGTTGCTGCCTCGGGATCGGTGATAGACTATGGACTGAAGATGTGTCGACTAAAATGAGAAGTGAGGGAAACTGATCCCCCCCCCCTCCCTTTTTGATGAATTTTCTTAAAGGGAGGTTTTTGGAGAAGAAGAATGTGATTTCTGCGACGTGTCGACAAGAAGTGTTGTATTTGTTTTTTTCTTTGAAGTGGCTGAATAGGCTGGTATTTCTGTCTGTTTTCAAAGTCAGCCTCTGGGAAAATAGATTCGTCGTAGAATTGAGAAGTCTGAAAATGTCCGTCCTTGGAGTGAACTGCGCTTGGGAATCATATTATATTTAATTTTCATTATTTTGTAAATAGAGTTTTGTACAGGAGTAGTTACAAACATTATATACATATATAAATGTTTGTAAATAAAAATTAAAGTGTTCCCATGAACCTGAAAGTGGCCCTCTCCTTGAAACCGTTATAGTTTCAATATACGTCGAGATGTTATATTATTAAACTCTTTACAGATCTCAACTTTTGAACTAAGCTAGCCAGGGCCGTATGGCTTACTGTAAGATTTCGAAACAGGAGATGTTTTTTCTTTATGGGGTAGTGTTGTCAGCCCTACGCCTAACTGTCATATTAGATCACGCATGCATGTACGCTGCTCAACAGTCGCATTAATAGTATGATAATGTCAAATTCGAATTTCTCGAATATTATTGAGAAGTGGGTCCTACTATTTTGGTCGCTTCTCATCCTAGTTATGACCTATACGTACTATTAATCTAAGTTTGAAAAGTGTATGATTGTAAATCTCTGATTGCAAATTCAATGAACATGTGTATCTGTAATTATATTTGACTCTGATGTTCATAAAAGTTAAATACGGATCTTGTCGCTTCACGATGAGCGAAGCAGCTGGCCAGGGCAACGCGGGGTTATATCGTAAAACCCAAAGCAAAGAGGAGAAAGATAGACAAATTAAAATGATCCTGACTATGCATTAATTATTTATCTAACAGAAGTAATATTTGTTAAAATTTCATTATTGCTTTTTTATAGATCATTACCTATCATTTTAAATATAGGATCATATTCAATATTACCTATATTATAAATCTTAGGGTAAACAGAGTTAGTTAGTAAGTTAGGTATGAGATACTAACTACGGGATTCCAGTTGTCGGAGCTGGCAGAGTGCCATTGACTGGTTTTTCGCCCTTCGCCAACACTATTTTTAAAACAAGTAAGGAACAATTTCATTAAGGCCTCAAATGCTGCGAGTAATTTTAAATCTGCACCACAAGTATCTATGCTTGTAATGATTCATAGACAATTCTAGTACGAATTAAAGGCACACTTAACAGTTATCAATAAGTTTGGGATTCTTTTACTCCCTTTTTCAGGGCTTGCATGTACAAATTAAAGGCCCACTTAACAGTTATCAATAAATTTTGAATTCTGTTTTACTCCCTTTTTTAGAAGCTTGAACCAAACCAATTCATCAGGGCCTTGCATGTACGAACTAAAGGCACACTTAATAAGTATCAATAAGTTTTGGATTCTATTTTACTCCCTTTTTTCAGGGTTTGTATCAGACCAATTCATCAGTGCTTGCATCAGACTTGTTTAATTTACAAGTGAACAATGGAGACTACATAGGGTACGTAATGTTCATGAAATTGCTCATGTCCATCAAATTGCAATTTTTCCGTAACCCAGATATTTTCTGTAACTATAACTGTTCTTAAATGTTTATTACTACCATACCACATTTTGTTAATCATCGCCGATATGGTTAGAGACTTGGTAAAACGGGTAACCTAAAATATGATCCAACACAAGAACAAAAAAACACTATAATTTTTTAAAAATGAGTAACCATGCTGCCTGCTATGCATTGATGACAGCTCCACCTGGGGAGTTCAGGTGAAATGGAGAATAGGCATCGAGACTCTCACCCGAGAGGAAGTACAGCGCAACCGGCGCTGCCTCACACATGTTTAGCTTACAATCTCTCATCTCGAGAGGAATTATCTTTATTTTTGGCTTAGAAGTGGAATCCTTCCACGAATCTTTAACTAAATGTCTTTAAATGTGTTACATGTTGTCTGTTTTAATTGGGTATGTGGTGTTTGTGCGCGTGTAAATAAAACTGTGTATTCTCATGAAATTGCTCATGTCCATCAAATTGCAATTTTTCCGTAACCCAGATACCTGTGTCTCAAGTCTCAACCCAACCACGCTCAGTTACAATCCAGTTGCACAAACATCGACAACACTACAAATATTTATTACCACCATATCACATTTTGTTAATCATCGGCGATATGGTTTGGCAAAACTGGGTAACCTAAAATAGGATCCAACAGAGATTATTGTAACTCATATCTACATAAAATATTGATTTTTATTCACATACCTCATTTCAAACGATTTGGCAAATTTAAATAATTTTATCCTCATACATAATATGGTATATTTATAAATATAATTTTTTATGTTTCTTATTCTGCATACTGTTGCCCTTTAAACGACAAGTGGTGTTTAAAATTCTTTGAGCTTAAAATCCTCCAGATAGATTGCGAAATTGTAATTTGCGACAAGCGAATAAAAAATAACAATATTCGTGACACACCGTTTCACTTACCAGCAGCCAAGAGGGCAATTACTTGAATGATTATCCCTTTACGTGCCGGATAAAAAGTAACAATTTTGCACACACATCGAGCGATGAATATAAACATTTCTCTAAGGTCAACAACAGCTGCACCAAAGTGGTGTAATAAAATAGGTGGCGCATTCTAATCTTTCGGCACTATTATGTTTTTGTCTAGCATTTTAAGACTGGATTTTAAAATTTAAAATTAATTTCCAAAATTATGAGCACGACCTGAATTATACTACAAGAAAGCATGTTTATTAATATGTTGTTGTTTTGTTGTTTGTTTGTTGTTTCTTATTCCACTTGGCTGGCCAAGCCCACGAGCCCATACGTACTCATCATTGAAGGGAAAGGAAGCAGCTTCTGTTGTGATGGAGCACCCGTAGGTAGAAGCCTGACTTTGGCTCCGTGACGCTCTTACAGTCGTAGGAGACCGGGACCTACCGCTTAAAGTGGATTCCGAAGCACTACAAACATCCATGGCACCGCCGGGATTCGAACCCGAAACCTGTGGCACCGAGCGCCAGAGCGCTAGACACTCAGTCATTCAGGTCCCAAATTTGCCAACAGCTCGCAGTGTTCCCAGGTGGTCACCCACCCAAGTACTGACCGCGCCCAATGATGCTTGACTTCGGTGATCTAACGAGAACCGGTATATTCAGCATGGTACGGCCGTTGGCTTGTTTATTAATATAAAAAATATAACAGTATTTTATACTTCTAAATGCAGTCTGAACTGAAATATAGGAAAACAGACGAAAATATGAAAATTTGTTTTAAAATTCTGGCAAATTTTTGCAGTTTGATTATTAAATAGAAAGATATTCATAATTAAGTTATTTTATAAAAATCGGCAACATGAACATGTATAAGAGTGCATATTAAACAAGTCATAAAACACATGAATTACTAAAAGAGTTTCTAGTAATTGATCAGTTTTTAATAAGATTAATTTATAGAAAAAAGACTTGACACAAAAAAATGAATGACTTTGTTGTTTAAGTGCCGATTAAAAATTATAAATACCGAATAAATATCTTTTACTGTACTGTTATATAAACATTTTCTCTATAAATAATGAGGTTTTGTTTTGGTTTGTTTCTCTACGGTCATCTTGTGCATACGTTTAGGCTAATTAAACCGGGACCTACAGCTTAACGTGGATTCCGAACCACTAACAAACATCCATGCCACTGTCAGGAATCGAATCTCAAACCTGTGGTACAAATAAATAACGGGGAAACATTAAAATGTTAAACATTGAAAACTTTTCCCGGAATTAAATTTTTGTAATGTCCATAATGCCATATTCACTCATTGCAGTAATTTATTTAATTGTAGTCTAATTTCTTTATTTTTTTTCATTTTTAAATTTCAAACTTATGCATTTATTATTTTTTATATACCGAATTTAGTGTCTATTTTTATACATATTTTCATTTTTTCCATATGTGGAAACTTGGGTGTGATAGATTTTCTAATGGATACGTTTTTCTTAATTCAGCCAAGGTATTAAACGATTGATTACGGTGAGATGTGGAACATTTTTCTCTTACGCTTTTTAAGTTATTTTCTTAAAAAAACTTACCTGAATAAAATTAGCTAATTACTTTTTAATGATGCGGACAACATCAGTTTAGATCTCCTTCATTGGCGCAAAAGCCTGATGATGGGCCAAGGCCTTCTGCTTATTGGCAGATTTCGAGACAGAAAATGTTTTCTTTTTATTGGGTAGAGTAGTTTTAACTACGTTCAACGCTTTACAGTCATATACAGGGGCCTACGGTTTAAAGTGAGCCTCAAACCACTGAAAACATCAATGGCACCGTAGGGGCACAGTGCCGCAAACCAAACACACCGAGCGCCCAGTGCTAGTCACTCGGCCAATATGCTCTCAATTTACATGTAGTACTCTGTAATAGTAGATATGACTCTGCACTCATATTTATATATAAATGTTACAGAATGAAGGGTTAGGCTTAGGACATCTTTGCGAAAACTGATTTATAATATACAAGGTGGTGGGCTGGCACCATTACAGGACGCTAACCCGTCATGTTGTCTATTTTAAATAAGTTTTCGCAATAATGTAATAATTCAGTATTTGTGTCACTGTGATGCAAAAAATAGATCAAATAGATCCCGTCTTCCAAGATAAAACTTATAAACACCACTGAATAATTTTACACTTTCAAAAATCTAATCGAAACTATACATGCTTAAAAACCCTTAATGGACTTCAACTAAACAATTACAATTTGTCTCACAAATTTTTGCTTATCTAAATAGATTATTACTGGACTCATTTTCAAAACATAGGTTTAGGTTCGCTACAGAATAACTTTCCGGGACACTACGTGCTGGTATGGGTCAAAAAATCAAAACGTAACACATGTTTGTCCTGTGTACCCGCTAATTCTGGTGCGGTCGCGTGGAAGTACGGGCGATAATGAAAATTAGCCGTTTTTTCGGCGGTCGCGCAATTGATGCGACGTAGCTGTTCCCCCTTCCTCTGTGACATCACATCCTTTTCATGCAGGACGAATTAAGGGAAAGGCCTTGAACCTCCATCAGCATCGCCAATTGTGCACACACACACAGTGGAACAGGATTCTTTCTTTTTTTCTGTGCGTGAGGAATGCTGCTTGCACGCAGTTGACACAACACGTCTAGGTTGATTGGAACGCAATAATTCGAATGGCTTGTCAATGTCGTCCGATCATTGGCCTTCAAGGACGGGGACATGCCAAGGGAATTAGTTCCAATGAATTAGGGGATCACCATGATCACTTTTATTTTGACAGGTTAAAAAGTATAAGTCCCTGGCACACAAGAAATACGTCTTTTGATACTGATTAGATGGCCAGGATTTGTTCAGAATGTCCTGGCTGTGTGATAGTAACTGGAATTGCGACCAGAATTGAAAAAGATTTTAATGAGATTCTTTGTAAAGATTAAGAATAAATTTGTAGTTTCTATAGTGAAAAGTGACAAAAAAAAATTCAATTAGGGATTATTGGAAAAGTATTTGATATTTAAAAATGCAATCGGAAGGAATTAAAGGGTAATTTTTTTAATTAATAGGTAGTTTCTTTAATTAATGGTAATTTCTTTTATATGCATGCAAACGTATCACACATACACAAAGTATCATAATAAATGGATAAATAACCATTATGTTCAACAAGTAGTTTCTAAGACTAATAATGTAGTGATAAGAAAAACAAAAAAAATGTGAATCTGCGTTCCTTGCTTCAAGATCTTAGTTTATTTTTGTATATAGAACCTGATGGCCGAGTGACTAGCTCTCTGGTGCTGAATGTCACAGATTTTGGGTTCGAGTCTCGGCTGTATATGGATGGTTTTAATGGTATGCTATCCCCTTTAAACCCTAAGCCGGAGCCTGATATGGCTGTGGAGCATTGAACGTAGGCTGACAACTTACTCCATAAACAGGAAACATCTTCTGTTTCGAAATCTTCCAGTAGGTAACCGGCCTTGGCCCACCATGGGGGCTGTTGCGCCAATGAAGAAGATATTAAACATAATTTTACAACTTATTTTTTCAATAACAATAATTTTTATTAAGGTAGGCCTTAAACTCAGAAGTGAACATGCAACTCGTCGAAAAGAAATTTTACCCTTGTTCATTTAAAATCCTATTTGAAGTTTTTTTAAATTATGCATAAAATATAATTAATTTCATTAGTTTAGTTTAAATAGCTAATTTGAAATACTAATTTAACTCTACCAAAGCCCGGTTTGTGGCCTAGTGGTAACGCACGCAAGCAAGCATGTAAAAGGAGGAGAGTTTAGCTCCCTTAGTGGCGTACAGGAATTAAACTACGTTCTTTTTATGTTAAACGCTTCCTTCAAGGTTAACACGCGTTTATAATTAAGCTTTGAAAACCGAGTTGATGTAGATTATGACATATCTGGCGTCGACTAGGATTGCGTTTAGTTAACTTCCCTCATTCGTTATGCATATAAGTTATTCGCAAAAACTGATACTTCCTTTATGTTTGAGGAAAATAATCTTTATCAAAATAAATTATGGAATCCAAACAGAAATCACTGATGAAATTAATCCTTGCCAAAATAAAATTTGGAATCCAAACGGAAAATGATTGATGAAATTGATCCTTGCCAAAATAAATTTTGGAATCCAAACGGAACATCTTTGATGAAAATAATCCTTGTTCAAAATAAAATGTGGAATCCAAGAAATTAATCGTTGTCAAAATAAAATTTGGAATCCAAATAGAAATCTTTGATGAAATGAATCTTTGCCAAAATAAAATTTTGAATCCAAATGGAAAATCTTTGATGAAATTAATCCTTGCAAAATAAAATGCGGGATTCAAACGGAAAATCTTTGACGACCTTATAGGTGTCAAAATAAAATATGGTATCCAAACGAAAAATCTTAAATTAAAAGAAATTAATCCTTTTTAAAATAAAATTTGGAATCCAATCGGAAAATCTTTGATTAAATTAATTCTTGTCAAAATAAATTTGGAATTTCACACAGAAAATCTTTAATGAAAATAATCCTTGTTCAAAATAAAATTTGGAATCCAAGAAATTAATCGTTGTCAAAATAAAATTTGGAATTCAAGAAATTAATCGTTGTCAAAATAAAATTTGGAATCCAAATGGAAAATCTTTGATGAAATTAATCTTTGTCGAAATAAAATTTGGAATCCAAACGGAAAACCCTTTGATGAAATTAATCCTTGTCAAAATAATATGAAGAAAAAAAAAAAAATAAAACTTTAATAAACATAACAAACTTAAGAGTGTTTGATGTATTAATATCGTTGCATTTCTGAATTTGTTTTCTATCCATTAAATAGAAGAGATATTAACTAAATAATTAACCACTTCAGAAATGTTATTGGATGCAGAAATTTCTATGAAGCCTAAATAACTTTGTCCCAGCAACGATAGGGTGTCAAATTCAAGGGGATAAACAACCTTGCCTCAAGTGCACTGACCTCTTCACGAGAACACCTATCTGCCATTTAAGTCGCTTATTCTTCGTTCCACACGCAGCGGATAATTAATTTCACCCCCTACCCCCACCCCCCCTTAAGTGACCCCCTCAACACAAGTATTCGAGCGATTGTCCGTTCCCCAGGGTCTTTGTTATCGTCCGAATACCCCCAGGAAATTTACTCACCCTTTTCGGCGGGAATTACTAATTACTCCGGTTCCTCCCGCACGAAAGTGATGAGTCTTGCAAGGATTTTGTCATCAGCCAAGAAAGGAACGTTTTGCATATCGCCTTTTGGAAGGCGTTTAGAACGAAGAATGGAATTCGAATGCCGATGGAAATTGGCTTGTTACCCCGCCATGGATATATTTAGGAATGGGAATCGTTAATATTTAGTTTGAATTTGAATGTATTCGGAAGTTAATATAACTTGATAAAGTTGTTGGCTTGAATTCTTGATGCGCCAGGTGTGTGTTGAATGCTCGCCAAGTTCTGCAGTTTAGTTCAGAGTGAATTTCGCTTTCAGCGCTGTTCAATTGTTGATACACTTAAGTTAAATCAGAATATCATTTACGAATATACTCTACAACGTGGCTATACAGCATGTTGTCCAGTGATATAATGGATAATGCTGTAGATTGACATCAAGTTTTTTAGCAACTTCCTTAAGTTAAAGAAGTA